TGTGGGCCCTATGCCCCAGCTGCTTTAGCCCCTCGTTATGTGGACCTTGCAAGAATCTCTGTGGCTTGCGGTCGCTCACTTGTCCCGAAGTCCCTTGAAAACCCGGAAGGCTGCGTGTGAGGAGCCCGTGTCGGTGACAGGATGCCAAGTGCTTACTGACGAAGGCCCGCTGCTGATTGAGGTCTGGTTGGCATCCACGTTTCAAAGCCTCTTGTCCCGCAAGCCAGCACGGCGCCGGAATCGCCCTCCAGACTAACAAGCCCACCGCAGTCCGTGAGGCTCCTCCAGTCTGCCCGAGCACCTGCTCCTTAGCAGTTCGAAGCACCTTTGTGTAGCTGATGTTCGAGGACACTCTGGGCGGCTGAGCCAGCTGAGCCAGCTGAGCCTTGCAGCCACTGGGGCCACTGGGGCCACTGGGGTTTTGGCGGCCCCGAGCCTTCGGGCCGCGGCGGGCCAGAGGGGCCAAAAGGTTCAAAGCGTTCAAAGCTGATCCGAGGCCTCCTGTCCCACCTTGAGCCCCACCTGGGCAGAGCAGCTGGGAAGGGGTTGTTTGTTGCGGGCGCTGTGTCCATGTGGCCTTGGAAGCGTCGCTTTTCCGAAGCCCCGCGAGCTGTGAGGGGCCGTCTTCCTACCCCTTCATGGCAGCCGCCTTTGCAGGGCATGACTGGAAGCGCACGTGCCCGGTGAATATCACCTGCCTGTCTGCAGCTGACGGCTGCCCAAAGCCTCACGGTGGCTTTGCCGGGGTGGGGTGCTGGGAGATCGAGGGATCGGATGCGACTGTCTTTTGTCTTTGTGAGAGTTTGTCGGCTGAGGTACCTCCAGCACGCTTTCTCTCGCCCATGTTCTTCTTTCGGTAACGGATGTTCACCTTCACAAATTCAGGGCGAGTTCTGCGCGCCTGGGATTCTTGCCAACTGTACCGGTTTGGGGGGCCAGCGTGCGGTCCGTGCGGTCCTGCGGAAGGGGCTTTGAAGGCTGCGCGATACACGCAATGATCGCAGAAACGTCCTCCCATTGCACGGGCACCGGGCCGACCGGGCCAGAGTCGAAGTGAAGCTGCCCCTCCCCTCGCGCTGCGACTTCAGGTGCCTCTACCAGACTCTTGTTGTGCAGCTTCCTGCCCCTGCCAGGATGGTGGAGCTCTGTATGTACATAAGCTCCAGCCCCAGCCCACAACGCAAGCCCCGGTGCCTGGCTACCCGGATGACGCCTGAGGTGCTTCTTGCAATTAACATGATGAAGCTTGAAAAGCACAGTCTGGTGCGATGTGCTGTTTTGCCTGCCTTGCAAGGCACCCAAGGCTGACATGTGAGCCAACCCGAGCGACCTCTCCCCAGTGCCGCCTTGCGCAGGCACGGGCACGGGCCGCCTCCCATGTTGAGCCGACAGAGTTGAGTGGCCTCGGTAGTGCTCTACAAAAAGTTCCTGCCACAGACACACCGCTTAGCGGGATGGGAAGCCCGCGGCCACTGAAATTGTCGGGGAGAGGCTTCAGGAGAGGCTGCAGAGGTATGTCAAGCAAAGTGCCATCGAACGTTGCCCCACCAGCAGCCACCCGGCTGGCATGCATCAGAACTTCCCATCTCCCGCCTCTAACATGGTCAGCTTGTTCCTTAAGACTGTGGCTGAGCTCGGGCCACTGCTGCATTACTTGATCTGCGAGTCAGGGCACTTTGAGTCCTGGTCTCTCGAGGCCAAATGCGACTGCGATCTTAGCTTCAGCACCTCCCAGGACCGTGGCCAGTTGTCTCCTCACAGCCTGGTAGCCCCCTCCTGAAACTGGCTAAGCTTGGGCACTTTAGCTCTGAGCACAGCTGCCGAGGGGTGATTCTGTGCCCAAAGGTCTCCAGGTATCCATCCATGGTCTATCGGCTTCGCTTGAAGTCAGCGATGAAGCCCAGTTGCGGCAGCTCCAGAGCTGCCAATGTGCGGGATTCAGATATTGGCGTTTGATTTCCAACCTCGAGGTGCTGGAACCCTCACACAAGTTGCATGGCTTGCGGGATCAACACTCTGACCTCTGTGGGCAGAGGTCCTGCATCTGCATCTTGGAGACGGTTAGAGCGCACAAGCCCGTCACCAGAACCCTACATGGGATAGATGCTTCGGCGGCCTTGGCATGAGAAACGCACCATCCCAAGCAAGCTGCATGACTGGCTTTCCAGTCTTGGCCTCGATGGCCAAGTGGGCACTTCTTCGGTCCATGACCGCTCCGCTTCAGCGCGCCCCTGCACAGCATGACGAATCAATGAAGCAAGGCGCGGCATTCTGCAAGTCTTCCGAGCCTTGCGAGCTGATGCTGCGTGACGCGGCATGATTTCGGTCAGGGCATCCAGCCGGCCCCCATTAGCTGCGCAACAGGCATGGCCAGATATCAAACCCGCGATTATTTGCAGGCACAAGGCTCGCAGAGCCCTGAAGCTGAAGCTGTCTGACTACGCACGGCTACCCCAGTGGAGGGGCCGGGTTGGGGCAAGAGTCACAGGTAGCCCTGGGAGCTCATGTTCACTTGCTTGTCCGGCCTCGCCGTGGCCGCTTGGAAGCATGCGATGGTTGCCTATGACGAGCAGGTACACCAAGCCCTACACCAAGCTGAGCTCGCCGCATTGGCAATTCCTCTGTGGACCGAGTGTAGGCAAGCTTGATACCCACAGCTTGGACTCTGCTTGAATGCTCAGCTTAGGTTGACGCTGCCCTTTCCCAAAGAGTTGACAGTGATCACAAAGCCCTTCCGACAAGCCCAGGCAGTGACTGCTGGACATGTCTTGCTCCCAAGTCGCCGAGAAGCCATGTTGAAGCTGAGAGTGGAGATCTTGAGATGCAAGCGTTATGCCAGATATGCCGCCTTTAAGGTTTCTGCTAGGGTAGGTACGCGCAGCTGATGCCTGCTTGTGCTCCACGCTGTGCGGCTCCCTGCTTGTGCTGCAGTGTGCGACCATTGCCCACCTCCCGCTTCCCATGGGTGGCTTAGGTTGGATAGGGGATTTCTCGCTCACCGATAGAACCGGGCTCTTCCAAGTTTTCGCCCCTGTCAAAGGCACGATGCCTGCGAAAGTAAGGAGGCCTGCATCCAGGAAGAGAGACCCCACCTTTGCTTCACCGTCAATGCTGGCACTGTCAGCCCGCGCCCGCACCCAACAATCCGTTTAGTCAATAGGATGCCTTTGGCAAAGGCGAAATGTACCTGGCTTGAAGCGGAGGTGAATTGCACACCTGCATCCCGCTGTGGCACGTGCGGCCGCCATGTTTTCCCGAACACAATCCGGCTGCAGATGGCTTGTCTGGAGGAGGCTAGTATCTGCAGCAGCCGTGCGCGCTGGCTAGTCCCCACCGCCCACAGCCACACCACTGACCGCCATGTGATACACAGGCTCTGAAATGCCGCGGCCGACGCATCATAGACTCATAGACCCTTGACCCGTGCCCCATCTACCCTTTGCAAGCGACGTGGCACTCGTCCGGTCTTGGATTCTTTGGTAAAGTCACCTGCCGAGGAACCATACGCTCCTTACGCTCCTTCCAAGCCTGCTTTTCAGCTATTCAACTGCCATGTGAGTGGCCATGCCTCCTGCCAAGCTGTGGACTCACGAATTCCAGGACACAGTCTTGCAGCAATCTTTCAGCAATTCTTCCAGCATGACTCTACCGTTTTGGGTTTAGAATGGGACACCTGAACAAGCTCAAGGGTTCTCTCTTGCAACGGACTTCGTCAGTCCGACATCCTTTGGACGCTTCATCGCATGCGGGGCACCTTCCTCACTTGTTCACACAAGCGAGTGAAAAGCCGATGTGCCACGGGCACGAAGATGCTGTGGGCAGTACCAGTCTTGCGCCTTCGCGGCTGACATGCTGCAATAGTTTGCTGCTCGCCTCTCAGCTTTTCCAAGGGCGTGTGTCACCTCGCTTGGTTCAGAGCACTGCCCGTGCCCCGTGTTTAGACTCTGGCATTGTCAAGCAGCCTCCTGGCCCTGAAGCAAAATGCGGCTCTCAGCACTCCCTTGCCATGCACAGCCGCTGCAACTGTCAAGGTCGCCCCGATCTCCCGGAAGTGCAAGACCCTCCACTGCCAAAGAGTACCGAAGCTAGCCGAAGCTAGCCGGACTCGACAGACAGTACCCGTGAAGGACGGTTCCGCTTCCTCGCAATGCCATGGCCGTCTGAGGCCGAGTCCTTTGAGGGTTGTTGAAGTGCTAAGTACAATCCGCCTTGCAGTTCGGCTGTACGTAGCCACTAAGTTGGAACCGAGTCTGGACAACTTGGCCACACGCGCAACATGCTTCAATAGTCCTGGGTTGAGCCTGGGACCTCGAGGCAGAGAGAGATCTCGAGCAAGCCCGGCTTCGTGGGCGGCATGGGCCCGTGTTGCAGTCTGCACCCAGCTGCACACCGCGTGCGACCGAAAAGTGCACGCAAGTCCAGTCCAAGCCAAAACGAAAGCAGTGGCTCAAACAGGCACTGACCCATTACCGCTCAAGCGTTGCGCGGCTGATGTGGCGGGGCCCATTTGGTACGTCATGATGCTGCTGGCTTTGCAGTTGCAGTCTTCACATCGGACCTGCCCAGGCTTGTCCCGCGACCTTTGCTGCAACGCAAGAGAGACAAGCAAGTCAGACTCGACACCGTAACCTGTAGGGGGCCGCCGAACATAACAGCTAGCATGATGTACAAGTATAAATCTCCGCAGGCCAGAGTGAAGGGGCCTGGACCTTCCCTTAAAGTTCACTGCCCCCATGGCTCACCAAACATGTCCACAAAACCTCGAGACAGCTTGCTGCTGGTGCATGGCTGCTTGAGCATGCTTAGTGGCAGTCAGTCCTGTGTTCAAGATTCAGGTGGAGGTTGGGCGTCGGTAGCTATTCCCACTTCAATTTAAGTCGTTCTATAGATAGCACGCCCAGGAAGAATTGCGCTTGCACTGTCTCGCTCTTGAGGCGAAGACCCAGGCCACGGCGTCTCTATGAGCCCTTCCTGGCCAGAACAGGCGTTTGCTTTCCGGCATGCCCCCCCGATTCCAAAGACTTAGAGCCAGGTGGCATTCCAGGCACTCCAGATTGATTCAGGCTTTGCTCCTCATCTACTCAGCCCTCCCACAAGGCCGTAGAGTTCACAACAAGCCGAATAGACAGAAAGCCATTTGTATGCTCCTGCACCGTGAAAGGCCGGTTCAGGGCTTCAGGGCATCTTTCAGGGCAGCCCATCAGCCCCTCGCCTTGGAAAGCAGCGCGAGCTCACCAAGCTCCCAGCCCACCCGCAATGCTTTGCCGGTGCCTGGAGCCACTGTTGGAATCGCTTTCTGCTTCGTTCCTGCCTTCCGAGCGTCCGAAGAGGCAGACGAACTGTGTGAAGTTGGCTGGACGCTGGGCTTTTCTGACCAGCACCTGGCTGACGTGGCCCCAAAAAGTTTGCAAGGCCTTGTCGTTGCGGTCTGCTCGAACGAGGCTCTGGCTGCTTACTTGCATGTCGCACCGTTAAAGTTGAACGGCTTTTCTACGGGTGCTCTACACTTCCAGCGCGCGGTCAGTAAATCTTTATCTTGCCTTGTTGCGCCGATGGCCCCCTGAAGCACTGTCTTCGCCTTGGTGGGCAAGATGTCAAGGACATGAGCACTCCTACTAGTTTTTCTTTGCTGCTGCGCACTGCACTGTGGTTGTCATCTCACTATCAGCCAGTTGATTGAGTTAGGCTTGTTTTGTAGGCCTTTGGCCAGTGACCACCGGCCCCGGCGAGCTCTGACGTGTGCTGATTCGGGCACCGCACCTTTGCCAGCCAGTCCAGCCAGTCTTGCTACACCTCTACGACACTTTCACATGCTTTCACATGCTTTCAGTCTGACTACCATGTCGTGTTGCAGCTCAGCGCACGAACGGAAGCCCGGCTGTGCCGTCTCGGTTATGTTTCTCCATGACCGCCGCTCCCCAATCTCCCTGCCTTCTGTCGTGGCAAATGACGGAAAGTCCTACTTTGCCAAGGGCGAAGACCTTGACCAAGCTGTCTTCGAGGCACAGCTGGGGGCCGAGCCCCCATCCATGACCCAAGTAAAGACCCAGTCATGAAACCACTAAGGGCAGTGCGGACCACCTGTAGCCATCAGGATGTTCGGAGTGGCATGGTTCAGGGCTTTTCAGGCTCTCCACTAGGGGGTAGAAGGAAGCCGAGGGTGCCCAAAACGGCCTTCTGCTTCGTTCCTGCTTTCCGAGCGTCCGCAGAGGCACCAGAACTGTGCGAGGTTGGCTGGACCCTGGGCTTCTCTGACCAGCACCTGGCTGACGTGGCCCCCAAAGGTTTGCCAGGCCTTGCCTTTGTGGTCTGCTCCAACGAGGCTCTGGCTGCTTACTTGCATGTCGCACCGCTAAAGTTGAACGGCGTTTCTACCGGTGCAGTACACTTCCAGCGCGCGGTCAGTGAAATTTGCCCTTTTGCGTGGATGGCCCCCCTGAAGCACTGCCTGTGTCCTGAAAAGATGCAGCTTCCCACTATGACATGTCGAACAAATTCTCAAAAACTTTGTCCCACTCAAGGCCTCGGGCATGCGAGAGGCAGCTTGGAGAAAGCAAGCCAGCTAACTGACACTGCGTGAGCAACACCCGAGCCGATTGAGCATCCCATCTCCTGACCCAAGATCGCAGAAGGTATGCTTACTCAAGTAGCAGCCAAGTTAAGTTGCCCCCGTGCCGCAACTCTCAAAGTTTATCTGTGCAGGTATGCTGCTTTGGATTTGGCCTTCCAACTCCTTCCTCGAGCTCGAGCTTCCAGAGTCCAATCCGTGTCAGGGCAGGCCTTAAGTAACTTAAGCGGCTCAAGACATGCATTTTTCAGCATTCACCCAACCTCCTCTGCCTCCATTGTGCCAGCTCTGCACGGCCACTGCGTCCAGCTGTACCAGGACCGTTGCAACCTCGTCGACGGGGCCCTAGCAATTGCTCCGTCTTGCGGGTTGGTCCGCCCAGAGCCTGTGGCGAAAGCTGCACCTTTCCCCCAGCAAAGAAGGGTTCAGCCGATACCAGCCACTCGCGCCACTCGAGCTGTGAAGTGGTTGCGGCTGGGTGGGTTCCATTCTGCCTGGTTGTGAGGCAAAAAGTGGTGCCTGAAAAAGCAGCTCTTGAGCGAAGCGGAGCTGCCCTACAGAATTTTCCGAGGGTCGGGGAACGGGCCAACTGGCGGCAGATGTTACTGAACTCGTTTGATGGGGCACGTGGGGCCTTTCCGCCAGCTTTCCCCCAATTTGAGCTTCTCCCTGATCACGGCCCAGCCATGGTCCGGATGAGGCCCCACACACCCACCACCCAGGGTGCAGTTCACCGTGGATCAGAGAGTTTGGGAGCTCGGGTTGCCGGTGGAGTGATTGACATGATGGACATGTCCTTAGCTGCGTGCAGGCGTCAACACAGACACAGTCAAGAGTGTCATGTCGCACCGGTCACGGAACCTGAGAAGATCTGCCCGAGCAGATCTGCCTGAGCAGATCTGCCCAGCGCATCCTTGGTTTGTTTCCAAGATCCGCCTGCCCCCGCACAGGACAAGCCTGATGCAGGGCCTGTGGCCCAGGACGTCCACACACCGGCCCTTCTCCAACATGTCAGCAGCGCGTGTCACACATGGTGCCCCCTGCCCTCCAAGAAGCTGGGCACAAGCTCTGCCGACGTGCGGTGTTGAAGGTGGTCTCACAAGAAAAAGGCATGAGTCCGGAAAGCATGAGCTCGAAGGAGCACGTTTCAGCTTAGCAGATGCTGCCCTCTCACTCTCCATCCCTTGCCTTTGCACGTCCATCCTGCAAGGCTTGAATGTGTGAGAGGTGAGACAAGCTTGTTGCTTCGGGCAACTCCTCAAGTCATTTGTCAGCACCCAGAACCGCCAGAACCCAAGTGGCACAAATTGTGCTTGGGTGCTTTCGCTGCTCTGCCCACTGTTTGCCGCTGCAGTTCGCAGCCCGATGATTGTGTGAAGATGCTGGCTCCTGCGCATGGGCACACGTGCATGCTCCTCAAGTGTCGAGGACACATTCCCAGGCCAAGGGCAGAAACTGGACCGCGTTCTGCCGCTGCCCCACAGCGCACAGATACGGACTCCAGGCTTACGGACACCGTTTGCAAGAACTCTTCCCGGATCGAAGGTCCAACTAGTTCGATTGCAGGATTGCATCCATTCAGTAGAGAGACCAAGGACCTGTGAGCACTTCCCTGTACGTCCGTTCAATGCCTGCGGTGTGCTTGTTCCCTAGCCTGCTTTGACCGTCACTGACAGTGCATCAACCCAGGCGACGAGAGGTTCGCTGTGGGTGGGGCCGTCACGATCTTCAGACAGGGCTCGCTGCTTGTTGTCTAGGGAGTCTCTGCAACTTCAAGCTTCTCCCCGCAAAGCGTGTTGCCATTGTTGCACATCTTCCGATTCCAATCTGTTGTACTCTACTGCGAAGGCGGGCTTTTCAGCATCTTGGCAGCACAGTTGCAGGTGCCAATCCTGAATCCCGCAGGGCAATCGTTCCAACACCCTGCCAAGCCACAGATGCCCAAAGGGCTACGGATAAGAGCTCCACACGCATCGTGAAAAGTTCTCAGGGTTTTTCTGTTCAGCGGCTGGAGCTGCGGAGCCAGTTCAGTTTGTGAGGTCACCCACAGAATCTAGCACCAGACTCTTCAGAGCATGCGTGGTAGACCCCATTCTTGCTTCCATGTTTTTTACTTGCCAGCCAGCAGACGAGAGCCTTTGAAGCTTCCTTGATTGATTTGTACCTTTCCTGCGGGGGGCCGGTGGGCCAGGACCAGGTGGCCAGTTCTGTCGCACTCCATGGATCCGGCCAATTCCCGTGCACCCATTTCTGCTTGATCAGTGCGGGCGCTCGCTTGTGCTTGCCTTTGGGCTTGGCAAAGGCCACCGTATCAATGGCACGGCCGGGCATTCAGAACGCGCTAGCACCGGTGACGCCGCTATCAAGTAAGGTGGATGAGGGAGTGACCACTTCAGCTCTGAGAAAGTCGATCCAGAGCCTGCTCCTAGAGCTGTCCAGTTCGTTTCGGAGAGACAGAAGGACAGAGGAAAGCACAGGGTGAGCAGGGTGAATGCCGCGAATGCCATGGTGAGGGCTTTGAGCCTTCCTGCCCCTCGCAAAGTCGCTCTCAAAGGGCAGCTGCCTAAACTTAGGGCCACTAGTCAGGCGTTGCGCGGCTGCGGGACAAGGCTTTCGTTGACATCCTGTGCTGCCATGGGCCATCCTTTGCCGCCTTTGCCCTAACTCCGAGCTGCGCAACTGCAGACAGTTCGGATGGTGCTCTTGCGACAAGTGGTGAGCATGTTGCGTCGTCCCTTGCTCTGTCGACTGGCTTGCAATCGCTCCTTTCATCGCCCCTTTCAGGTCTGAAAATTGTTAAGGCTGTTTCGGTTTGCAAGGAGCCCAAGACGTCCAGCAGGATGATCTGGCCTCCTAGGGGCTCGCCACTGGGGAAGCAGGCGCGTCGGTCAGGACTTAGCCCACACATGTGGCTCAAAGGCCCTCTTGACAGAGTGGTGCTGCAAACTCATGCCAGCCCTGGCGAGTTCTTTGCGTGGATCTATGACAAATTCTCCGTGCGCACAGAGTTGGCGGCTCTCGTGTCTGAATGCGTTCTCCATGTCGCGCCCCTGCCGTCTCGCGTTTGCCCAGGCACAGTGGTTCGCAAAGCAACAGCTGGAGAGCTTTGCAGAACACCGAATGGGTGCAGCCAGATCCCAGCACCTCTCATGCCTCTCGGACGGAGAGTTGCGATTTCCTTGATTCAGCTAGGTCAGCACATGCCCAGCCATCGGCCTAGACTTCTAGACATCGCCTCCTGTCGTGTAAAATGCGTGAGTGAAACGTTGTCCCACCGAAGCCGCACTCGTATAGTCCGCAGCACATACGCAAAGCCTTCAGCAGCTTTCGAGGTGTGGGAAGGATTGCAGGAGGACGCCACCTGGACATTCGCGCATCTACGCTGGGGTGTTGATGAGTGCACGGAGCTGCATCTGCGCATCAAGCGCACCAAACGCCCAAAGTACGGCAGAGCTGTGATTGTTGGCGATTTTTCTCCCTGGCCGCAGCACCTCGCAACGCACAGCCGGGACAAGCCTTCCAAGGCTTCGGCCACAGGCACTCATGCATCTGTCAAAGGTTCTGTTGGACGAACGCAAGCTGCCACAGTAGCCTCCAAACAGCGACTGTGCTCCTGAAACAAACTTCTGTCTGTACACCGACCCGATTTGACCCTCACCCCTTCATGGCCCTGCTGACAATGCACCCACCCATCCTTAACGTCCTTGCCTCCGCACCAGCTGCACCGAGACCAAGGTGCCACTGCCCTGCCCCTTGGCGTGAGGCCGGCAGGTCCCATGCATCCGAGTTGCATCGTCTTGTTTGGCAGCTTTCAAGCCCCGTCCTGCCTCCCCAATCCAAGGTCCCAGCACTGCTGTCCCTGTTCCCTTCGTCCGAAACGGCACCCTGCCAGGCTTGCTAGCAAGGGCTGTGTGTCCCTCGGCTTTGTCTACACCTTCGGATGGGTCTTTGGCACTGACGTTGCGACGACCTGACGTTTCGAGGGACAAGGTGGCACATTGCGCAGCAACTTTGCTTGCAGATCTTCCAATTTCTGAGCCAAGGGCTTGTCACTTTGCTTCTACTCTCCCGCCTTGGGCTACTGAAATGCCCACCCAGAAGACAGGCAGTTTAGTGACGAACTGACAACCCCCGGAGCCGGGACTTGGACCCTCACACGTCGACCACCCAATTTCAGGTCCGCGAGATCAACCGACTCCGATCAACGGTCATGCTGCAAGGGGGACCTCGAAAGTGTGACTCGACTTCTGTGTCATGCGGTCGTGTCCACGGCCCGTGCTCTGAGGGAGACCCAGATTCAAGTTGCCGCTTGTCCTTCCTCCTTGAGGGGCTGGAAGCACACTGATGCTGCCACACCACCCCTTGAATTGCTGATTTTGACAGATGCACCGCTCGGTGACAACCGGTCTTCCCCAAGCTTCAAATGCGCCCCGACTCAATGGCTGGCAATGGCAAGGTACTCTGAGGTGATGCAGAAATGCACAGGCCGTCCTTGACTCTTGCGTGCAGGTCCCATGTGCTGCACCCGCACGCCACGACGACACTGATTTGAGTCCACGCTACTAGCTGCTTTCTGCACACAGCAATCTATCAGAGTTTCCATAGAATCGTAGCCCGTCCAGTTTGCAGTCCATTCCGACACCGAGTCGCACTTCCAATGTTCGGACGAGCACGTTGCCAAAAGCGCCTGGGACACAATGCATCTGATGGTGTGTTCCAAAGCATTCTTCTTTCCGATGCTGCAGTCGCTTGCAGGAGCGCAGGTCCGGATGTAGGACCAACAAGTGCGCATGCACGTGGGCTCTTGAGCCTTCCCACCTCGTTCATCCCGCATGCCTGCCAGTCCTCACCACTCAAATGTTCCGAAGGTGCCGAGGCCGGACGGCGCTGGTTTCTTTGAGAGCTGCTTGCACTTACCACTTTCATATCCGTCCCGGCACAGGGCTGAGGGAACAGAACCGTTCCCACGGTGGCAGCGAGCTTGGCGGTCTAGGGGTCGTTGTTACCGGACTATGCTGTCCGTCCGCGCGCCGCCCTAAGGCCGGCATGATGGGGATTGCACGAACACTGGGCCAGCAGAGCATTCAGAGCAGGATGCGAGTGGAGTCTGCGGCCATGTATCGAGCGAAGCGAGTGAAGTGTGGCAAGCCACCACTCCGTCAAAGGTCTTGCCACCTGCCGCGCGCGATCCCAACAGTTTGCTCTTGAAGCTCAGATGTGAGCGAGGCGCCCACAGAACAGCCTGCGGAGCTGCTGTGCATCTCGACAGGGGGAATTCAAACATTCGCACCATGTCGCGACGTCCCTTGCCAAGCTGTTGCCAGCGCAAGACAGCTCCAACCGCTCGTGAGGCCCCTGGTCCCAAGTAACTTAGCACTGCACCTGGAGTTCAATGTGACAGCCGACCTCGGTCTCATCGTCTTGCACTGAAAGGAAGCAGTTGAGGAACTGAGAGCAAAGCATTGTTGTGACTGTGGGGTTTCCCTAGCTCGGGTCTGCCGGCCGTTTACGCAGCACCCACCACTTTTGCATCGAGCCCTGTCACCTCAGCTCTTCTGACCCTTTCTCCCCATTAAATGCAGGCGCCACTGGTCCTTTCCATGGCTCGGCGGTGTATGTCCCCGTGAAGGCCGCCCCTCGCCTTCGGGCTGCCCTTGAGCCAACGTCGCAAAATTCACCAGCGCAACAAGAGTCCCGACGAGAGCCCCGGAAACTCTCAGGCCCGGCTCAGTCACAGTGATAGTTATAGTTCTAGTGGATGCTCCAATCACACATTCTCGATCTGGCTGTACGCCTCATTTCCATCCTTTCATTGAGTTTTTGAGCATGACACACCGCCCAAGGTCTTTAGGCAAGCGGAAGGCTCGTTGATGCTCCGATTTCCAAGCATGCCCCGAGCACTGCTTTCTCAGATGCGCCGCTCGTGCACTATTACTATAGAGCTGCATCATGCAAACGCGGTTGCCCTGAGCTGCGCAGGGCCTCCATCATGTCTTTCTTCCCTCGCGCTCCGAGGACGCCCGACTCCGGCCCGCCTCGGGGTCGAGGACGGCCACGGCATGCACTGCCTCGTGCACCTCCTCGATGCCACCCTCATGGCCTCACGGGCACCCTCCTGGGCACTCGCAACTCATTCCCCGGCCGCCGCATCTACCGCCAAGGTCACCAAGCAAGCCCTTGGGCTCATCACACTTTGCGGGGGCTCCAAAACCGCCTCGCGGCGCCTCGCGCGCGCCCCGATTGAAGACAGCGAGAACAGGAGCCCTCATTACCAGTTGATCTATGAAAGGAAGATCCAGAGGGCCAGCAGGACCGAAACTGTCAGGACTCCGGCGACCCCTGTAGTCCTAGCTGCTCAAGCACGGACAGCTGAGGGCCCGGTGATGAGCTCTGCATCCACCGAAACCATGGACTCCGGATGATAGTCAGCTCTTAACTCCTGCACAGAAGTTGAAACAGTTACACTTTCCATCTGAATGTAAACCCCTGTCTGCCCTGCGACTTGGGGTGCGAGGTTTGCTTTGTTTCAGATTCGTGGCCGTGCCTGCAATGGCTCCGATCTGGCCGGTCGCCTCTCGCCCTGGGCACTCTCTCTCACGACATTCATGACCATGCACGAAGCTTCATCTGGGGCGGGCATCTCAATGAGATCTCCAACGCCCGACGATGCCAAGCTGGTTCTCAGCCGTGCAGAAGATGTGAGGGCTGCCCATGGGCCGCCAGCACCAGCTCAGTGACGATGTTTTTCACATTCACGGGTTCATGACGTTGGGAGGGTGAAGTTCAATGCAAGTTGTGATGGTTGTCGTTGGAAGCTGCCAGTAGCTGCATTTGCACTTTCATGTCATGTACTCTGTAGCGAGAGGGCGATGGGAAAAAGGTGTCTACCGCTCCTCGGCTGCGCATTCAGGGCTCCTTTGGGCGGCGCGCGCCCTCTGGTGCCTCTTGGCCCGCAAGAGCAAGCGCTCAGGCGCTGCGTGTGGCTGGTGCCCCTTCCGGTGCCGCAACACGGCTCAGGCGTAGGCTGAAGAAGGCCTGTGTCATCGGGTCTGGAACCCAAGGCACCCATTGATGCCCTTTGGATATCCAGTTGCATAGTCGCTCAAGAGAAATCTGGCGATGACGTCCCTTTCTGCCAAGCCGGTTCCATGTGTCCGAGTGAACCGCAGCTTTCCAAGCATCTGAAGCTTCGTCATGAGGAGCTCTGCTGCCCAGCTCCCTTGCCACGCTTGAAAGCCTGAGGGAGGGGTGACGAAACGAGCCCTCAGAGTAAAAGCCGCTTGACACCCACGGATGCCTTGGATGCCATAAAGCGTGAAAGGAGAGATGCCCAGGCTTGGCCCCACGTTCCGCGTGGTGCACTAGGCCCGAGCAGCTCGAGCAGCATCAGGCTCGGTGCTTTGATCGCCGCAGGTTCCGGGCCGCCGAGACCCAGGCAGAAGTGTGAGAAGTGTGAGCAGCCGACGTGTTGCGTCGCTCTCGGTTTGGAAACGGCAGCTGCCATCAGCACAACGTGCTATTCGAGGCAGCTGTGAGAAGGCTCTGCTCTCCGTATATGTTGCGCTTCCAGGCCCGTGATCAGAAAGCTGATCAGGCCCGGCAGCGCCTGATTGCCGCAGGTGGATTCCACTCTGTGCTAACGATTCCGCACGTTGCCGCCAAGGCGACAAAATTTGTGTGACCTGGCCGTTATACTCCTGCAGTGTTTCGATCATGATCTAGCTTCCTTTATAGAAGGCAGTGATGCAAGTTGGTAGGCTGCTTCCCTAGTCAACTGCTGTCCCTTGTCGGAGATAGCACGAGCGTGAAGTCTGTTTATTCGTTAAGCGCAGGACTGCTGCAATGGTAACTAGAGGCTCCCTCAAGGTACGAATCTGTGCAGGCCTGTCAGTGCGAAGTGAGACGCAAAGTTTGCAGAGCACGGAGCGACTGCGCACCTGATGTTGTCCCTGACTGGCTCAGAATTCAGCGAAACATAGCCATCGTCAGAGCCCAGCTGAGATGCATGATCTTTGAGTCAGTTTGAGTCTAAGCCGCCCAATTGCCCATCCACCAGTCCAGCTGCCTCTTTGTTGATTTTACCCTGCATACTGCATACCCTGAAAACAGGGGTTGATTCGCAAACCTTGCGCATTCTGCAGTTGCGATCCCTGAAGCCCTAGAGGTTGAGAGCTTGAGTTTGAGCTCTGGGCCTCCAGCTTTTAGGAAGCGGAGTGTCTACGTTAGAGCCTGGTTTGCTTGAGGGTTTAGGTGCGGGTCTTGAACTCAGGCGGTTTGTGCGGAACGCCCTACAAGCCCTGAACCCTCTCCGCCCCAATTTCAATAGCCTTTGTTGGCGTCTTTTGTTGCAGCCCCCATGCCCGCTGAGCCACCCAGCATTGCCAGCTTGGTGCGACGACGAGGTGGGCTCTGGGTTTTTGAGGCGTTCGGGGAAGTTGAGGTTGAGGTTTGAGGTTTGAGGTTTCGAGCCGTCGTGCTAGTCGATGGGTCATGGCGGGAAGCCCTTGTCTAGCCCAAGTGCGGAAGTTGCTTCTCACATAATCATTGGGTGCGCGAGCGATTGGCTCTTCTGCTTCTTGTGGTCTGCAGAGGCTCCATAGAGAAGAAGAATCCATCC